ATCATCATGGAGGAATGGAGGCCCTTCCAGGACACAAAGCACAAACACCTAGTCCAATTTGTAAAAAAGAGTATTTCCTTAAGGAACAATTTTGAACACTGCCTTCAGAAACCAGAGTCTGCTCCTGCTACGTCTGATCCATTAAGGATGATAGTGTTGACACTGTACCTTTGAAGTGTATTTCCAAATTGGGATAACACCTATTTTATATTTGTTACTTGTTTTTCATTTACATATACAATTGTATTTTCTTTTTAAATTGCTGCTTGCACCATACATGTTCTATTCTGAAAGAAATGTTCTCTTTACTGAGTTGTGCTCTGGAGTGCAAGAGGGTGGGGCAGGTTCATGTTGACATAGTTAACCCAGTCTATACTGTGCTGGCAGATCTCATTATCAGTTGTAAACTAGATTTGAACATTGTCATAGATATTTAGCAAAGGGTTAAATATCTATAAGCATTGTGTGTTAATGAGAGGAAGCACAATCTGTCCCTAGTATTTCTACAGGGACAGCTAGAGTCTCCTGTCACTTGGAAATTGAGAGAGAAGCTTGCAAAGGCCTGTTTCACAGACACATCTAATATGTGGAAATATACAAAAAAATAATAATAATATTAAGCATACTGTGTGACTGGGAACACCATATCTCTGGGAACAGACATATTGATGGGTTTTCTCAAAATTGACTGCAAAAGTGGAAATACACTTTAAGGAATAATATCCAAGATTGGCAATTGCCAGATTAAGAAGATCCACAACCGGCTCTTGTGCAAACTGGAAAAATCTTAGCCAATAATTGATTGTGTTGGTGAAGACCGTTCTAGATTTTAACAAGTCGTAGAAGATGGAGATCACCAGCACTCAGTCAAAAGCACTGGATTTTTTTGCTTATTTTTTGAAGAAACATGTATTAAGTGTCATTTAGCCAATGTTTTGGGGCAACATAGTGACCCTTTGGCCTCTCGCTGGCTGTCTAGATCGCATGGGCTTTTAATGTTGGATGCTTGCTTTCCAAGTTTTTATTATATTATTTTGATAAATTGGTTTTATTTCATTGCGCTGTGCACTATGGTCTGGCTTTAATTATTTGCATGATTGCTACTGCTGCTGAACTAACCATCCAGAGGAGACTTTGTAAGCGGGAGGCTTGTTTCCCCATGGCCGGAGGGCTATAAAGAAATCTGCTGGCTTGACCTTGTTTATAAGGTCTAGAAGGGAGGTGACCGGCCATTTGGAGAGAGTTTTTTGGGATGCCATTTAAATGAATGGCAACGTAACACACCTCCCACACCAGAACGTGTGGTAGGTCCAATTGCATGGTACAGTGCTTTAATCGCACAGAACTGTGCGATTATTGCACTGTACTAGTGTGAAAAGGTGTTAAAAAACACTGACAGACTCACACAACCACAGACACAATCCCACACATTCACAGACATTCTCACACACACATACACACTCCCAAAAAAATATTTGTTTTTCTTTTTTTTTTTAAGATCCACCCAGTCTCCCTAACATACGAGAACTGGAGTGGATCCTCAGCCTGGGAGCCAGTGTGGGCCGCTCTACTGTAATGGAGCTCCATCCATATGTGCATTGTTTGTACAGCTCCTTTGTGAGAACTGTAGAGGTGCCGGGAGCAAGAATGTGATGTCATTCCAGTCCAGGCACCTCTATAGGACACACAAGGGAGATGTACATATAGATGGAGCTCCGTCACCACAAATAGCCACAGCCTACTCCGCCTCAAGCTTTCACTCGGTGCCGGGGCAGCATATTTTGGAGTGGGAACTGACAGTGCTACAAAAGGTGGGGGCCCTCTCACCTCTTACCTAGAAAAGTGGAAGGCACGCCGTGACCCGCTGTGATTCTACTTTGAGTAACTTCTGAAAAATAAAAATGAAGATTCACTGAATATTGACGTGTTTGTCATGCTGGTGTGCTGGTGACATTTCTTCACAACAAACTTTGCTTGATGTGGCGCCATCCGCAGTCACTGCGAGCACCCATTTTTTGCCTATGGGAATTCCGGTAAGGTGTGCTACAGGTCTTTGGACATTTGTACTTGTGGGCTTTTTCCTGTTTAAGCACCCCCGGTGTTGTTCTCCCACCCTGCAACTCAGGGATTATCAATAATTTGTGTAGTAGACACACATTGGACGTTTTTTCCTTTGATTCTACTTTGAGTGACTTCGGAAAAATAAAAACGAAGATTCACTGAATACTGACGTGTTTGTCATGCTGGTGTGCTGGTGACATTTCTACACAACAAACTTTGCTTGAAGCGGCGCAATCCGCAGTCAGTGCGAGCACCCATTTTTTGCCTATGGGAATTCCGGTAAGGTGTCTTTGGACATTTCCACTGAACATAGGGGCGCAACCAACTTTTGGGTCACAACCCACCAGTTGAGAACCAAGGGTTTAGTGCATATACAGTATATCCTCCAACAGTGGCAGTTTTGAAACTTTCATGAGTTGTTACTATGGATAATCTAATCTGCAAAGGTGAAAAGTTGAGGTGCCATATCCACACAAATTGAATACAAGAAAACAAATACACACAGGGCATATTACTCTTTGACAAAGCACATGGGAGTTGAGAAATGTAAAAACAGAGCTTGCAATATATTATACAGGCCAGGAATAAATACTTAAATTTAGGAGATAGTGTTCCGTAGTCCAATATTTTTGCAGTATTAGGCTTCTAACCCAAGGACACTATACTGTCACATACAATACTCTCTGAACCATGGCAAAAAGTTGCATCAGATTTTTGTTTTGCTATACAAACTATGGTTGTTGACTTTTACAGCAGGTTTTGTGAATTAGAACTTTTAATAAATACTTTGACCTCAACTGTATCTTTCTAGACATAACAAATCCAGAAGAACTTGCATTAAACAAGGGCCCCTTTTTAACTATATTTAGGTTTACTAAAATCTCTTATTTTTAGTATAAAATTTCTAGTCTAACCATGCACAGGTAAATGGACAGATTTTTCAAACTGTTGGAGTATAAGAACATAACTACCGATGGCATGGAATAAACATTTCAGATGTTCATGAGTTCACAATTACGGTTCACTCTGCCAGTGACAAGAAACCATCTGCAACCATGAGTCATCTCATTTCACCTGTCCCATTTGGACAAACACAAAGGAATAAACAGCAAATACAAATCAAATAAACCAACTGGACTGTGAGGCCATTAACCATTTTACAGGGGGAAATCAAACCTTTATGCTTAGATCTGAGTATATGGCTGCCAAGTCATGTGACTTCTAAGCTACAAACCTTCTGATCGAACCTGGTGCAAGCTGAGGATTATGGTGTCTATATAATGAACTGAAGGTGGCTGAACAAAAAACACACAACACTGTTTTCAGAACGAGTAGGATACAGCAAGTAGGAGAAAAAAAAAACTGATTCTACCAACATCAATGCAGTGATATCAGAAACATTGATATTGATCTTGATTTATAGACATGCACTAAAATGTTGGCTTTAATTATGCTATCATTTCTCCACACATTTGTCTCACTTGTTTGTATATTCTTTTAAAGGAAGCAATATGTAACATACTTCGACCGCAGAGTGAACACATACCTCGACCGCAGAGATGAGTGGGTATGGCTACAAAGTGCTGCATATTGGCCATGGTTTGAAGGGGTTAAGGGGGTTTAGTTAAATAGAGTCTGAGCTTATTCGCAGTATACATTGCACACATTTGAGATTTTCCTTGTGTCCACACTCTGCAAATACTCTATAATAATTTTGTCACAAACAAATGTTTTCATACACACATAAACCTGAGGACCAAATATAATTTCTAAATAGTATTCCATTACATATGCTTTTTATGTTTGAGCCTATATTCATAAATGCCATTAAAATAGTTGGGGACTACTTAGCAAGCAGCAACTGTTGAGCACTTTGGTCAGGAGAATGTATTGTACAGTACAGCACAGCTTACAAAATGCATTAGTAAGAACCTTTTAATGTATGTCATACTGTATAACATGTAGGGGTCAGGAGTATGTACCATGTAACAGTGTATAGAGTGCAGGGGTTAGGAGGACTTATAATAGCACTGCCCGTTCCAGCACCCCTGGCTGGACATGGGATGTATCCATGGGACTCCATAATTGTTTAATCCCAGGACATTCCAGCGTAAATCGGGATGTTGAAGGGGAGATGGATGGGGGGCATCGTGAACAGCACATGGCACTATAATTTGTGTGTAGTCTTGATGTTTGTAATTGTATCTTAGCAGTGTGGCTGAAGCTATCTATCTATCTATCTATCTATCTATCTATCTATCTATCTATCAAATGAAAACACAGTGCACAAAGTATGTCTCCTGTGTCCAAACTGTCTATAGATGCTAACCATAAGAACCCATAACAAAGACTTTACAATGTATATTTTTATTACTAGACTTTATGTCAGCTCATGGCTGAAATTCTCTGAGGGATGAGCTTTGAGTAGGGACAATTGTCGGTGCTGTTTCTCAATGGGGTCAGTCCATAAGCCATATAAACATTACATACCTAAAGCCCACTAAACCCATAGATGCTATCACTGCCACTATTTTGGGAAGATGAAAATGTGTTTTTAAGGCACTGTACCTCAGTATAGCATATTCACTATGACTAGAATCTGATTCCTGTTTGTGGAATTCACCAGGCAAGGAGTTTCAAATACAGTATTTCAATATGGAATGTGATTACATGGGATTCCTGAAGGAATGAGGCAAGTCTCCAATACTGCACAAAGAACCTTTTATCTCCTTGTGTTGTCAGTGGTCAGTTGAGAGATAAACTTCATGGAGAAAACTGTAGGATTTTTTTCAGAGTTATACAGTTGCTTATCACGTTTCTTTTATAACAGGTGTCACATAGGTAAAGGGATATTGTGTGAATAGCATTTTCAAAATTGTATTGTAAGTATTAAATATATGGATTGACTAAAAGAAAGCATTCTCAATTCTTCTAAACAGAGGAGCCACTTCTGCTGTTTTCAGATGCGAGGAGAAAAGAACACAAAAACTTTATGCTGCAAAAATTATTCAAAAGACTGTAAGTATACGAGGATAGAGCATCAGTAATTATAGATATGGTAAAACATATATATTTGTTGCTTTTGACAAGTAGTTAGGTTACACAGCAGTGGCTGCTGCTTGTGCTAACCTAACAAGTGAGGCAAGAGCTGCAACAGCCTCTACTCTTTGTTATGCAGATGGTTTGGACCAATGGCAAAGCACCATTGGTCCAAGCTGTCTAATCAAAAAAAGAAAAAAAAACACACTGAGGCCATTCATCTCGTTCCCTCAGCAGTGACGAGCAAGTGAGGGACAGGGAGGCTACTTCTTGTCTCCTCCCTCCCTCTTTCACACTAGCCGGGGCTTCGGCGGGATGGGGGTGGGGCTTCAGTGGGATATGGGTGGGGCTCCTGTGGGATGGGGCGGGGATGAGGAATGCCTCACCAAGAAGCGAAGGTAACGCACGTGACTGGTTTGTTATGTTCTAACACCATCTTCTGATGCCATAAATTGTCTACACAAGTGGTGCTCAACTGTCATTATTTAGGAGGCCTCAGATCCGGGCCTCTGATCGACCCATATGACTTCCAAAGAACCACACATGTTATTCAGTAAATGTAATGCTGCAGAAAACTGTACAGACTGTATACATTCAACAGAAGATAGTCAGAGACTGCAAGCATGCTACCAGATAGTAAGAGGATGCAAACATTTTACAGGAGATGTGAGTAGTGATGGGTGAAGCTGCCCTGGTTCAGTTCGCCACGGTTTTGATAAATCTTTTTTGAAATTCAGCCCGAACTTAGAGGTGAATCACATTAAAATCTGTGTGTGTGTGTGGGGGGGGGATCAAATCTTGTTAAATGCTGGCCATTTTTAGGGCTATTAAGAAAATTACTGCAAAAAAATACTATACATTGGTGAGGTTGTCTTTCCATGCAGCTTTGAGGGCAACATTGAAAATACACAAATCATTTAAATAACTTTATATACTCCTTTAAATAACTTTGCTAGGCTTGGAGGATGCCTTAAAGTGTATTTCCACTTTCGCAGCCAAATTGGGATAACAGCTATTTTATATTTGTTACATATTCCCATTCACGCTTTTACTAGGGTTAGGTTTTTTTGGCTTCTTAGGGGGTTAACATTTCTACTTGCTTCTCCTTCTTTGTAATGTAAGTAGAGGCTGTGAGGGGTCAAATGTTAATGAAGTTAGTGAGAGAAACACAATCCTCAAATGGCAGCCTAAGTCTTTCTATGAGGATAGATCAGTAAAAAAATAGTTTTCATTATGCTGTGTAAATAGGAATGCATAACAAACATAAAGAGGGGTTATGCCAAATTTTGCTTCAAAAGGGGAAATACACTTTAAAGTTGTACGTAATGTGAGCAGTATAGTTTTGTTGGACAGTCTCAATGACAGTTTACATGTTCTGGCATGTTCTCATTAAGAATTAAGAGACCACAGGTGATACAGCGGGACAGTTTTAATCAGGGATAATAGGCCCAGATTTACTACAGACATAGAGCGCAGGCTGGGGTTTTACTACAATTAAGTTACAGCAGTAAAAAATTGGCCAGCGGCATGACAGTTTTAATTATGGCTAGTAGGCCTAACTTGTATATGTCCATCTTTTATTTTATCTTCTGGGACAGGGGGTGTCGTAAATGTGAATAAAATAATGTGAGGTGGTTTAGGTGCACACTGTTCTAGCAGCTAGTTTTTTTTTTCTTTCAAATGATGCAGTGAACCTCTTCAAACAAAAGGCAGCCCCTAGAACAGATGGGCAGTAACAAGTGAATGCTCCACTTTGAGCACCCAAAAGATAACAAAGACACTGCCAACAAAAAAATTTAATAAAACAACTACAGGCCCTATCAACATAAAATAAAAAAAAAAACAATATATCTCCAAAATAAAGGAAAACCCCAAAACACCAATGCCTGAAACAAAAGGCCTCTTATTTGCAGCAAAAAAAAAAAAACTATGAATGGGACCGCAGCTAAGAGTGACTGCTGACTTCAAATCAACCACAAAATAAAATGAAAGACAAAAAATCCCAATAATAAGAAAAATGTCAACAAAGGGATTGATTGCCCAAATATCTAGCAATCAGAATTAAAGTACTGTTTCCAAACTAAACCCAATCTTTTACTATGCAGTTTTTCAGATTTCCCGGTGCTTTTCCTGCAAAAGCTTCCTGATACTATGGCTGCTTAGTGAGGGTTCTGGCTTAAATAAAAAGATTCCTTATTGACCTTATAAGCCTGCTGGCCCTAGTTTAAAAACGATGAAGTGCATTATAGTTAAAAACAAAAATCTCCCAGGCAAATATGCACACAGGTTCTCCAGGACCACAAATCTTGAACTAACAGAAGCCGGCTTGACCCCCGGTAGCAATGAATACAAACCTCATTCCTAATGGTCGCACTGGGCAACATGATGTAGCAGGCTTTGGAGACTGGGAACATGTTTCAGAAGATCATAGTTATAGACTGGAGATCACTCCACTCTGTACTGAAATGTACCTATGCTTTGTAAGATATAAGTTTGTAAATTGTGCATCAAAAACTCAGTTACCGGTACTTTTCTGCAACTTTTGCTCCATTCACCACGATCCTCGACATTACCTATACTGAAACTCTAAATGTTACAGAGCAGAAATTCCTATTACTGTTGTATGAAAGAGACATCATCATCAGTGAAGTGTTTGTGCGGCCAAATTTTAAAAATTAAGTCAGAAGAGATTCAGTGATTCTACGGGCATCTGGGTGCCCCCTTACCCGCAGACCCCCACAACCACCGGGTCAGTGTTGTGGAGAAGAGGCCCTTGTCCCCATCAGCATGGGGATACCTTCCCAATGCCGAGGGCACATGGCCTAGCAAGGCACGGGAGGGGGAGCGCTCGATCGCCCCCCCCCCTTTCCTGGCCTGCCGGGCCTGTGCTCAGATCAAGGGTAGGAATGTTAGGGGGGATCCCATGTTCCCCCCCCCCCCCTTTCCTGGGCCTGGCGTCCCCCCTAACAATC